CCATAAATTTTCCATCAGATTTTGTATTATTGGTTTCATTACCTTCAGAAAAAGATTCTCGCCCATTTCAGAAGAAAAAATATTTTTTTAATTCTTTCACTGTCCAGACCCTAAAATAAGTATTGCCCCATTGGTAGCGACAAATTTTCTGAAAGTATTGACACCAAAACTACAAAATTTGATGGAAAACTTAGGGAATTTTGCAGGTGCCAATTTAGTAGTGTGGGCATAATTCATGCATCAACAATTTTGTTGGCTTTGAGTCTTATTTTAAGTCAATTCCACTGCTCCATTTGACCAAATTCTTAGCTATTTTGCTATTATGCCTTCTTTTCTATTGATTGAGCACAAGAAACTGTCCATTCAACTATTACAACTATGTAAAGTGCACAGAAGTTGACAATTTGGCCAATTATAAAGAAATATAAAAAAAAGTACCAACTTAAAAATAGAGTGAAAAATATACAATGTGGATATTCTTGCTACTAAAACATTGCTCTGTTCATTTATCATGTCTCCAGGCCCCTCATATATGACACTTGCCTTCTATTTTAAATTCATAATCACACAAAAATAGAAGATTTACTCTATATCCTGGTTAATAAAATATAATCAGGAATGATTGTCATGATTTACAGCATCCCAACAATTGAATCATTCCTATTAAAAACACACAAAACAGACTGGGGGCCTTATCTGTCCTTGGCAAAATTTGCAAAAATCTATTATTTTTATTTTAGCGCACTGGCTGTCTCCCACCAAGGCAGGGTGACCTAAAAAGATAAATTAAGCTTCTCTTTTTAAACTTAGTAATGTATACAGAAGAAAATCTAATATTTCTGAAATCTGTTTCAGTAATATTTCTTCCATTCTATTCAGTTATACTAAGAAACAGCCAGTAAAACCATAAAAATCATAATAATAATAATAATAATATCCTCATTTCTACAAGTACATGTACAAGGTATACAGTCCTAGCTGACATAAATGACATACTACTATATAGAAAGCCGCTTGTTATGCTGAGCATTTCGGGCAAATTAAGCCAGTTTAGTCCCAGGATGCGACCCACACCAGTCGACTAACACCCAGGTACCCATTTTACTGATGGGTGAACAGGGACAATAGGTGTCTCATGGAAACACGTCCCTAATGCTATTTTATGCCTAACATATGGTCAGAGTTAAGAACATAAGAAAGAATGAACACTGCAACAGGCCTACTGACCCATGCGAAGCAGGTCTATGTGTCCCCCCTGGATTAGTCCAATGACCCCCCCCCTGGATAAGCCCAATAACCCACCCAGTCTGGTCACCTCCACTCAAGGATGGAGCATGGCACCAGACCCAGCAGCACAAGCTAGTCAGGTCCAACTCACACCCACCCACACCCACTCATGTACAGTGGATCCCCGGTTCGTGATATTAACCCGATCCTGAGAGCTCATCGTAAACCAAAATTATCGGAAAGCAAATAAATTTTCACCATAAGAAATAATGGAAATCAAATTAATCCGTGCAAGGCACCCAAAAGTATGAAAAAAAAAAACTTTTACCACATGAAATATTAAGTTTAATGCAATAGAATAATTACAACAACAGCAATAACAATAGAATAATAACAATAGAATAATTGACACTTACCTTTAATGAAGATCTGGTGATGATTGATGGGCTGGGAGGAGGGGAGAGTGTCGAAGTTGTTACTGTTTAGAAGGGGAATCCCCTCCCATTAGGACTTGAGGTAGCAAGTCCTTTTCCAGGATTACTTCCCTTCTTCTTTTAATGCCACTAGGACCAGCTTGAGTCACTGGACCTCTGTTGCCATTCCTTTAAGATTTGTCTAAAATGGGCCATAACATTGTCATTGTAATAGTCACCAGCACGGCTTGCAATAGCTGTGTTAGGGTGATTTTGATCCATAAAGGTTTGCAGTTCAACCCACTTTGCACACATTTCCTTAATTTTTGAAGTAGGCACAATGGAGTCCACAACTGCCATAGGCTTCTCAGGGTTAGCCCCAAACCCTTCAAAATTTCCATACTAATTCTCACCCATTTTACCACAAGGTTGGCACTAGAAACTTTCTTGGGGCCCATGGTGACTTATTTTGCAGAAACAAGCACCAAAAACAGTGATAATATGGATAATATGGAATGTACCGAATGTATCCTTAGATGCGTGCACACTGGCTGGCTTGTAAACACTGGCACACACGGGGCAGTTCAGGCCACACATGAACACTTCTCATACGAATCGCATCGCATACTGGGTTTTGTAACGGGAACCGAGGCAAATTTTTTGCAATATAATGCATCGGATACCGATAGCATCACGAACCGGGGGTCCACTGTATTTATCTAACCTATTTTTAAAACTACACAACATTTTAGCCTGAATAACTGTATTCGGGAGTTTGTTCCACTCATCCACGACTCTATTACCAAACCAGTACTTTCCTATATCCTTCCTGAATCTGAATTTTTCCAACTTGAAACCATTGCTGAGAGTCCTGTCTTGGCTGGAAATTTTGAGCACGCTATTTACATCCCCTTTATTTATTCCTGTTTTCCATTTATACACCTCGATCATATCCCCCCTAATTCTATGCCTTTCAAGAGAGTGCAGATTCAGGGTCCTCAGTCTATCCTCATATGGAAGATTTCTGATACATGGGATCATCTTTGTCATCCTCCTCTGTACGTTTTCCAGAGCATTTATATCCATTCTGTAATACGGTGACCAGAACTGAGCAGCATAGTCTAAATGAGGCCTAACCAAGGATATATAGAGTTGAAGAACAACCTGAGGACTTCTATTATTTATACTTCTAGATATGAAGCCAAGAATTCTGTTAGCTTTATTGTGAACACTAATGCACTGTTGTCTTGGTTTTAGATTACTGCTAACCAGAACTCCTAAATCCTTTTCGCAATCAGTAGTATTAAGATCTACATTATTTAGTTTATATATGGGATGGTTATTTAACTGTCCAACATTTAGAACTTTGCATTTGTCAATATTAAACTGCATCTGCCACTTTTCCGACCATTGCATCCTGGAGTGCTCTAGTGTCCTCATTAAATTGAATTGGACGGCCTATTTTGGTGTCATCAGCAAATTTGCTTATGTTGCTATTTATTCCCTCATCTATGTCGTTTCTGTAAATTGTGAACATCAACGGGCCCAACACTGACCCCTGAGGAACACTGCTTGTGACGTGCCCCCATTCTGATTTCTCCCCATTTATACAAACTCTCTGCTGCCTATTTGTCAGCCATGCCTCTACCCAGGAAAAAATTTCTCCTCCTATTTCGTGTGCTTTAAGTTTATTTTATCATCATGCACCACGGGGGGCAGGATTTCTTTTATACTGTGCACACTCGCTGTGCAGACCCACTTTTTCATATCTAGGCCAAAATATAGTGCTCACAACTTATTTGAGTAAGCTGAGCTCGTGATGTAGAATTACACAAAGGACCCTGGATTCAGTGACGGTCACTGGAAGGGTTAAATGCTAACATGGTGAGAACTTTTAGTTTCATGGCTACCCACAATGAAGGGGTTAATAAAAGCAGGTTTTGGACTGTATCCAGTTGTTTTTAAAGGTTTTACTTTCTTTTCAAGATAATTTTATTTTGAAAGTGTTAAATGATCTCTATTTTAACCCTTAAACTGTCCAAGCATAGATCTACGTTCACTCGCGTAGCGCTCCAAACGTAGATCTGTTTTATTTTACATGGGTTCAAATATAAAAAAAAAATGTAGCTCTACATTCAGAGTGCTGCGCGAGTGAATATAGATCTACGTTTGGACAGTTTAACCCTTTCAGGGTCCGTCCCGTAGATCTACGGCTTTACGTTCAGGGTCCAAACCGTAGATCTACGTCATGAGCTCAGCTCACTCTGATAAACTGTGAGTGGTACATTTGGGCCTAGATATGAGAGAATACATCTATGTGGTATGTGTGCACCACATAAAACAGATCCTGCAGCACACTGTGTATAATGAGAGAAAAAAAACTGAAATCATGATTTTTCGATTAAAACAGCAACTTTGCAGTGTTTTTTCGTATGTTTTTTATAGTTGTATTTGCGATTTCTTGGTCTCATTTGATAGAATGGAAGACATATTACAGAAATAGGATGATTTTGATTGGTTTTAGCACTGGAAATGGCTTGAAACTGAGCTCAAAGTAGCAGAAATGTTAAATTTTTGCCGATATTCAAGAGTAAACAAACGAACCTCACACATCTAATACACGCCAGCTGGTGGGTCTAATATGCATTCACAAATATGGTGATGATATTTATACAATTATTACAGTATTGCATAATAGTAAATCTTCTATTTTTGGTGTGAATAAAAATTCATTATGTGAATAAAAAATCAAAATGGAATTTATTTGTAAAACCTCAAAACGTAACTAATGAACAGAGGAAATGTTAGTTTAGTTCCAGGAATACCTACATTGTTTATTCTGGACCCTATTTTGAAATTGGAATATTTTGAACTTTGTGTTAAATTGGCCAAATTAACAATTTCCGATCACTTTAATTTGTAGTTGAAACAGTTGACTTGGCAATTTCTTGTGCTCAATCGATAGAATAGAAGTAATACTAGTGAAATAGCTAGGAATTTGGTTGACTGAAATAATGTAATTGGCCTAAAATGGGAGTCAAAGTCGGCAAAATCGCCGATTCGTAAATATCGCTGACACATCAAAATTTGCGAGAGCATAATTTCGTCAATTTTTCATCAAATTTCGTACTTTTTGTTTTATTACCTTCACAAAAAGATTCTCTACCATTTCATAAGAAAAAATAACAATTTTTTTTTTTTTGAAAATTCTTGGACACTGGGGCACCACTTCAGATTTGGGCCTTGGACCCTGAAGGGGTTAAGGGTTAAGGCTTCTTTATTTATGTACTTTATTGTAAAATAGTGTACTGTATTATGATTTCTATTTTAATTGTTATTAACTTTATTTATTCTTTGCAGACAAATGGAATGTGCTCCCTACCACCGGCCAATAACAAGCCAGGGATACTCTAGTGATGGAGATTCTGAAGAGGAATAATTGAATACATGCTGTGTCCTCTTTCCATTAACCAGTTCTTGTTCATTACATCAAATATTTTGTGGAGGTAATAGTTTCAACCAAAGTATGCGTTCAAGTTGCTTCCAGCCTTCTCACCTCCACTGCTACTTTGCCTTTGTGATGGAAATTGAATAATTGCCACTACCTGCCTGCTGCAAGTGCCTGATCAGCCAGGTTGTAATGGCTATGTAGGCCTGTGGGATGCTTTCAGCAACAGTAGAGTTGACCCTGTAGTCAGCAAGGAAGTCTGGCCTCAGGCTGGACTTTCAGGGTAGAACACTCAAAACTGGTCACAGGTATGCCATCTCTAGGGCGTCTAATCATGAATTAGACCTTTAAGTCTCAGTGCAAACAATTTAAGTTTCTATATACTGTAGTTGTGGATGCTGTGTTTCCCACAGATTTACTCGAAATATTTTTTGTGATGCCTCATTGGTCTAAATGTATGTACATGTATAATCATTAAAAATGTGTTTCACTTTTATTTTACATCAGAAAATGGATTAAAAAAAATTTAAAGAAGTTCTCAAAATTTGTGACCCGAAATAGCAAAATGTTAAATATTTTACAATAATGCTTTTTTCACATGCATTTAATTTTTTTGGTGTTAGAAAGACAGTCATACACTTTCTTGCTCAGCGTACCCTGTACAATATCTCTTTCAGATAGTTTTGACACGGGCAAATTATTTATTCCTTTAGATCTTGTTATCAATCCACACACAGTTGCAAAGTCATAAATAATATATTGTTAATTGTCAGGTGTTCAGTGTCATAGATGTAACTGTTTGCATAGCTTTTGTTTTGAGAACAGTACTGTAATGACTCTTCAGACAGTAGTGAAGGTCCATTCTATGTAGAGGAGGATTTCATTATTACCAGAAAGTTCTTGGAGAGCTCTAGAGAAGCGCAAAAAAAATCACGGAAGCAAATATTAGCAGCCAAAGACTTGTACCTTGAAGATGGTGCCACTGTTGAAATACATAGATTGTGCTTTAACAGATTAGTTTCATAATTGTTTAATCATATGTTTGCCAGCATCAATGAGCAGTAAAGATCTAGTGAAATAATACCAAATTTGAATGCTGGTTGCATTTTTTAAAAACTTGCTTTAGAGCTTTTCTTGAAAAAAAAAATTGAATCCATGGTCAGTGATATCAATAGAACTAAATGAAAAGTCTGCAAAAATGTGATTACCTGTACATATTTCAATAAGGAATTAAGAAAATATTTCTAAAGAATTTGTTTAAATAAACTTTGTAGGAGAAAACTTGTAAATGGCAAATGAGAGCTGTAAGGATTATTTCACAGACTGGTGCATTTATATTTGTCTAAGTGTGTGAATCCTTAATAAGGACATTAGTCATTTGACTGCAGATAGTTGAGATAGAGAATGGACTACAACTAAGAGACCGTAAACCACTTAAAGACCACATAGTGATTGAGGCATCAATTTATCATTTAAAAGTATTTCATTCCCTCATTAAAAAAAAAAAGAGATTGCTAACCGTCCAGTAATGGAGTGCTCGGTCGAAAATATGTGTATATGGTTTTAAATAAGGATTTTAATTATTTTAGCATATGCTGCTTTTATAAAAGTCTAGTGGTTAAAACAGCAGCAGTGAAGAACTCAAGTTGTAAGAAGTACACAAATATACATGGCATTGGAAACTTACTGATTAATATCAGCAAGAGTAACTTATTAATAGTAGTACAAATGAACTCCTTAAGTATTGCTATTCATGTTTTTAGAATTGGGTGATTAGTGTAAACATCCTCAGGAGAGATGTGCTAAAGTATCTTAGGGTATGCCAATTGAGTGTGTGAAGAATACAATAATTTTTTTTTTTATAAATTGCAAGAAACAAAATTATATCCTCTGATGGTAGGATTGTAGTGGAAAATTGTTTGGAAATCTTGAATGTAGCACGTGGCATAGAGAGTACCAACACAAAGTGCAGAATTAATTTTACAGTTGTGTATACAAAGTTTCATATTCTGTTGTGTTACTCTTTGACCAAGTATTAAGTGAGTGTTGTACATTTATTATAAATGTACTTTGATTGGCCTTATGAAGTAATTTTAGCTGATAGTAAAACCAAGTAAGTGTTGTTGGATAAACTGCAGTTTCAATAAAAGAATAAGAGTCACATTAATGTGACTTGAACAATTCACTATTAACCCACAGTTTATGGTAAATAGAGCAGATAAGAGAAATTATCAGCAGTGGGTAGAGGTGTTCGCTTACCATTAGGTACGTCAAGGTTCTCTAGTAGATCAGCATCATGTTCTGCACTTTTCTAAATGTAGGAAAGGACAGTAAGATTGTTCCATTTGACTTGTACTGTTTATTGGCAGCTTTGAAAACTTTTCAGATCTAACTATTCAGACCTTCCACAATACTTAACCAATTAGATAATAGATTGATCTAAAAAAAATTTGCATTGAAATAATAGATATTTCTTGGTGTATTTTTATAGGTATATTGCAAATTATTCACTGGTATAGACTCCTAAGATTGTTGAGATTAAAGTGTAAATATAGCAAAAGATTTAAAAAAAAATCAATACATTTTTAATACAGATCAGTGATCAAGAATGGGTCATTATGGTTAGAGGAAGCAATGTATCAACACACTCGGTAGCACCCCAAGTATACATTTACAGTAATTTTCCTTACTCTCGTTATATATCATCCATTAAATGAGACATTTCATTGTGAACAGTATCTTATACTTTATTTATTTGGTTGTGAATATTTATCAGTATTTTCTGAATCCTGTCCTAGCATTGCGTGGTATGTTGTAGAAAGGTTAATATGATGCATTTAAATGTTCTACATTGAGAGCACAAACAGATAGCACTCTGCTCTTGCTACACATACAACTATCACTGGAAAATTGAATGTCTCAAGTTGCCAAAGGAAATTTGACAGTGTTTATGGCTACCTAACCCGACTTTTGTGTTGTTCTTTTCCGTCCAGTTAATTACATTGGTGAAGAGTCTGTGCACTCTTTAATTTCCCAGAAATTTCAATTTTAGTCTATTTCAAGTAACTTGAATCATTATGTACATATCTATATTTTTTTTTTTTAATTTTCATTATATGGTACTTTTGAAAAAAATTGTAATTTAACCCATATTAAAAACAGATATTAAGCTAAGCATAATTCATAATGCTGTTTTTCTTGAATTGTATTCTTCAGGAAGTGAAACATTAGAACTAAAATACAAGTGTATAATGCCCTCTCATATCCAAGTTAAATGTGGACCAGATAAGTGAAAAATAATAAGTCACGATACCATGGCTGGAACAATTCACTATTTACCCACTTTCTCCTTACCTCTTCACCTGACCTCTTTAACATCCTTCTCACTGTTTCACCTGACCTATCTTTTGGTTTTCTTCCCTTGTTTTTCTCAATTGTGACTTGATAATGGTCCAATAGAGACTACAACATCTAAGGTTTCACCTTGAAATTGTTGTTGAATAGTGAATTGCTCCAATACAGTGCATTGTGGTATGCATTTGTAACTTTAAATATAGCATCATTGGTCAGATTTGTTACCTAAGTTTTTCACCAGTCATTAATGATAAATTGATATCTGAATATGTATTAAAGATTTACTCTTGTAATGTGAGGACATAGAGGAGCTGCTTGTGTTTACTAAGGGTTGTATTTGCTAGGTAGCACCATTCACATTTCATCATCATTCTCAGCTTCTCCATGGTTACAGTACAAACCAATAACACAGTATGGTGAAATAATAGAAAACAAACCAATGGGGATATTCAATAATAATCATTACAATATACAAACACAAACACATGATGTTATTGAATATTCATGGCTTGACTTCATAGATTTCACCATCCACATTTTAGCTGTCAGAAGTGTAAAGCTTAATTTTGTAGTTTTGTCAGAGAAGTTCCATAGTGTTAATTCATGCATGATTTTAAGCTGCCTGTGCAATTTTTTTAAAGAAGTAGTTTAACCCTAATGATGCATAATTGATAGATGTCTATAAACTTTCTTGTCTGGTATTTTCTTGACAGGGTGAAGTTCAAATTTTAACTGGAAAGTTAAAATCTCCAGTTATGTAGTTATTTTCTTTTGCAAGACTCAGTGCAAAGCCGTAGGGTGTCCCTTTGTCACCATCATTACCTGACTAGAGGCAGAATCTGTGTTCAGTCTGTATGTTATCACAAAGTCTTAGAAAGCTAACTCAGAGTAGTGCATCTCCAGTGGAGTGTTTACCACACATTATTGTTATGTATATATAATGAGATTATACAAATTGATGAAAGTAAATTGAGATGTTTTACTCTTCTTTTTCTTTAACATGAAAATTTAGTAAGCATAATTTCAGTGTTAACCAACACCCATCACTGAATTGCTAAATCCCTCATTTGCTTTACTGTTAACAGGTTCTCTTTTAAAATGGAATTTCATACACATGAAGTTTAATTGTTTCAGATTGTACAACATTCTAAATACTTCACCTCTTCAAGAGGGACTTCTTGGCACAGTGAAGAGGCTGTTGGGCTGAGGAATTAGACCTTTTGGTCTCCTGCCTCAGACCGAACCTAATTTCCCCCAATTCTTCCTTCCCTATCCCATCCTCTCCATCCCTTTCTTTTCCCTTTCCTCCTCCTCATCTCCCTATCTCTCCCCTATCCCCTTCCTGTTTTCAGCCTTTGGGATTCTTCCCACAGGCACTCTAGTTCCTAGGTAGGGAGAAGGGTACTGTCGTCCATCCCATTCTGTTGAGGTCCATGGTGGTGGTGTAGTTTGCCATGGAATCTGGATCACCTGGGAATATCCCACTCCCCCTCTGGTCTCCTGGGGGTTGGCTTAGGGTGTCTTTCAGGAGACAGGTGTATCTCTGAAAGCTGCCTTTTGGATTCCAGGGGTGGTGGCCGAAGGAGGTATGCTTTGTGCTGGGTATCCAGCTGCCCTCTCTTTTGTCCACTGAGGTGGCTCGGTAGATGTGAGGTTGCTATCCCAGATTGCTGGTTTACTAGAATGAAGGGCAGGGTATGGCACGGGTTTCAAGCACTACTTGCGGTGCTGAGTTCCTCTTGGGGGTGAAGGGGGATTGACGTCCCTTTCATTTCTCCTAGGAGCTATCCCTCCATGTCCCCCCCCCCCCCCCTTTTTTTTTCTTTATTTTTTTTTTTTTTTTTTTCTAAAAAAAACAGAAAGAAAAGTGACATAACCATGGAGTCTCAAGTACATGAAACAGCTTCCCCCAGGCCCCTTTCTGCTACTGCACCTTGTTCCAACCCTACCTCATTATTTAACCACTCTTCGGACATTTCTCACACCCCTGTACCTCCTGCTGGTGCTGTTTCGTGACCCGCTCCAGGTACCGGAGTTCCACCTGACTCCTTTGATACATCTTACTTCCGTACTTCTTTGACCGTGCTTCCAGCTTCTCCCTGTACAGTGTGGCGATTTTCGGATTGCCTGCCCGTACCACATCAGACCAACTCTGGTCCCACACCTAAACGCCCAAGACCATTACCGGATGATACTCCTTCACTTCCTTCTCGTTCTGCTTAGAAAAGACTGGCATGATACTTTCTCCCCTTACACGTTATGTTTCAAAATACACAATGAACTAAGTTTTTTACTCTGCTACTGACTTCTTCTCCTGACTATCTTTCTGATCATAGTATTAGCAAGGTGCTCCTATGCCATGTTGGTTGCGATATATCCTTTCATGTCCTCAAAAGTGGTGCATACATTGTCACGGTACAGAATGCTATCCCAACTCGTGATCTTTTGATCTTTCTCTCCTTACAACCATAGATGTTATTCCTGTAACTATTGAAAAACATCATTCTCTCAATTCTTGTAGTGGTACTGTCATTCTGCCTCATACCATTGTCCAACAGAATTTCCAGACATGTGGTGATGACATTCTGGAACAGTTTGAGCTCCAAGACCTCCCAATCCTCAAAGTAGACACTTATGTCCTCCCTGCCCGCAGGTGGAGACGATATCCTTGCAATGTAGCTAACTTAACTTTTGACTGCCGTGAGCTTCCATCCTCGGTTTATATTGCGGGACACCATTTACAAGTTTGAAAGGTGATCCCTACATTGCAACAGTGTAGAAATTGCTGGTATTTTTGTCATAAAGCAAAATATTGCAGGTCCATGGCTGAATGCCCAGTCCAGTCTGTGGTGCCGACAACCATACCAATACGTCTTATAGTCTACTTAACACTTGCCTTAGTTGTCGTGAGGCTCTCCCATCTTACTCTCGCTGTAGCCAACTTTACTTAAGTGAGCAACAAATCCGTTGTCTCAAAGAGGTAGAAGGCTTTCTTTATGCTATGGGAGTGTCTCGTCTACACCTCCAGGGGAGACTTCCCTTTATTTCTTATTCTCAAGTTGCTAAATAACCCCCCACCTCTGGGGCCCGAACTTCAGCAGCCTCCTCTGTGGCCACCCCTTCTACAGTCACCCCTGTCTCTAATTCTTTTGCTGTCCTGGACTCATAGGTCCTTACCTCAACACCTCATTCTGTTCTCACCTCTTCCTCTTCTCACTCACAGGTTTCTGTGTTTACAAGACCTCATTCAACAACTCCCCATCGCCCCTCTACTTCTCCGAAGTCCAAAAAATCCCCATCGTTAAAATCTCCTTTAACCCCTCCTTCCCTTCTTCTACCTGCACATTTTTCGTTTCCAGTCTCTGTTCCTGGTTCTTCACCTCTAACTGGCTCTGTTATGAGTGTGGAGGTTCATCCTCCTCCTCATACAGTACCTTCTTCCCCTGTCCCCTCCTGAATTTCTTCCTCTTCTGCCCCCTCCCAGGTCGCTTCCTCTCCTGTCCCCTCCCAATCTTCTCCAGTTCTCTCTACCCTTTCGTTGCCCCCTACTTTGGTACATTCCATCGTCACCCCGATCTTTACTTACCCTCCTCCTTCCATCTCTGATATCGTCCCACGTATAACATCCTTGTCCTCTGAAATGCTTGAAGCTATCTTCGAATATATTGAGGAGACTAGACCACTGATGGACACCAATCCACCCTGTGTTCCTCCTCTTCACTCTTCTCCGTTTGCACAACTCCTTTCTTCACAGTGTCCCCGTCCTTTGCTGTTTGTGCGCTTTCCGCTGCCTCCACATGTGGATTTTTCTAATCCTTCTAGTCGGTAGATACCTCTATTTTCAGATTTCTTGTATCTTTCTCTCTGCAAATTGTGGCTTATTTACAGTGCAATATCCGTGGCCTCAGAGGTGACGAGGGTGAGCTTCAGGTGTTGCTCTCCCAGTTTTCCCGTTTGTGTTTGTTTATAAGAATGCAAATTATACTCCGCTGTTATCCATCCCATTTCGGGGTATGTTTTATTATATTCATTGGATCCTTTTCCCGATGGAACCTTTAATGAAAGTGCACTTCTTATATGCACCGGTATTCCATACCATCAGCTCTTTGCTCATATTTCACTGCATTACACTGCAGCTTGCATCCACTTGAATCAGTGGTATACAATCTGTTCTTTGTATCTCTCTCCTTCTCGGGCATTATCTATCCCAGATTTACATTTCTGGTTTCTTCCTTACCACTACCACTTCTGTTACTTAGCAATTTTAATGCTTACCATTTCGTCCGGGGGGCGGGGGGGGGGATCTCACTGTGACTCCCGCGGCATTCAGTTAGAGGCTTTTCTTGCTTCTCTCCCCATGTCTTAAATATGGGCACTCCCACACATTTTGATCCTCGTACTCATTCTTTCTCTTGCATCGATCTCTCAGTCTGCTCTTCCTTAACTGTACTAGACTTTGCCTGGTCTGTCCTCCTGGACTTGCATGACAGCGAACATTTTCCAATCGTCCTTACTTCTCCTTCGTATTCACCTCTTCGTAGCCCATGCTGGCAATTTGACCAAGCAAATTGGGACATTTACTCGTCAAACTGCTTTTAGTGAGGACCCTTCTTCGTCCTCCATTGATGAGCTTTTACACCTCAGTTTTAACTGCAGCTTCACATTCTATACCCCAAACCTTGGGTAGGCATTCTCAGAGGTGTGTGCCTTGGTGGTCTGCTTGTGCTCGGGCAGCCCCTCATTTCTTTCCTCCAAGTCTGCCAGAGAGCTAGAGCCCTTAAACTTTTCTTCTATCAGAGAATAATCTTATAATGTGCCTACACTTCTGGAACTGGAGGCAACACTCCGCTTGCTGATCATCGGCAGCTGGGCCTGACAGCATTCATATTCATGTGCTACAGCACTTACATCAGTCAGCCCTTGCTGTCCTCTTAAGACTCTTTAATCTTATTTGGATGCAAGGAGTTCTTCCCCAGCTGTGGAAATCTGTCATTGTTCTCCCTTTCCACAAATTGGGTACTACAGGACATGATGCCTCCCATTATCGTCCCATTGCTCTTACCAGTGCAAATTGCAAGGTGATGGAACATCTGGTAAATAGATATTTGATGTGGTATTTAGAGACGCACAATAGTCTCTCCACTAGTCAGTATGGCTTTCGTAAGGGCTGTTCTGCCAGTGACCCCTTACTACACTCGGATACGTGTGTTCGTAATGGCTTTGCCAATAATCACTCAGTTATCACCATCTTTTTTGACCTTGAGAAGGCATATGACACAACTTAGAGGTATAATATCTTTGCCCAGGCCCACTCCTTAGGCCTCCGAGGCAATCTACCATTTTTCCTTAAGAACTTCTTAACTCGGATATATCCGTGTTCGGGTTCGTATGCTTTTCCAGGACTTTGTCCAAGCTGAAGATGTCCCCCAGAGATGTGTTCTGAGCACAACACTTTTTCTCCCTGCTATAAATGATCTGGCATCTATTCTTCCATCTAATATTTGGTTATCACTATATATTGATGTCTTTGCTATAGCTTGTGCAGGCGCTGACTATCACCTCACTGCAGTTTCTCTCTAGCGTGCGGTCAACCATGTTTCCAATTGGGCCACTACTCACGGGTTTAAATTTTCTAGTACTAAAACTCGCCTAATTACTTTCACTAGACGTTCTGTCGTCTCTGATCATCCATTGTACCCATATGGCTCGCATATTCCAGAACATGATAGGTTAGATTTCTTGGCCTTCTGTTTGACCATCGGTTATCCTGGAAGCCTCACATTACCCCTCCGAAGGCAACTCGTCATAGCTGGCTGAACCTCCTTAAAACTCTAGCTCATCTTTCATGGGGGGCTGATTGTAGAACTCTCCTTCGACTACATTCAGCCCTAATTTTACCAAAACTCGATTATGGCGACCAGATATGTTCAGCAGGCTCTCTTGCAATTCTTATTAGCCTTAATCCCATCCACTCTGTGAGAA